ACTGTTGATGTATCATCTTTATTTATATTTAACAATGAGAATAGTAGGACAAGGGGACACAAATATAAATTTTGGCAAGGTAGGAGTCATCTTCAGCTAAGACAATTTTATTTTTCTTACGGGATGGTTGGCCTTTGGAATGGGTTGCCTTCAGATGTTGTAGAGGCAGTAAATTTAAACGAGTGTAAGAAGGCTTTAAGATTTTTTATTTTATTTATTTATTTTAATCATATTAATTTAGTTTAGAGGACGGAACAGCCGAGATGTACCAATAGGTCCCATGTTGTCGCAAAACGTTATGTTATTTAAAATGGTTACATTTTTTTAATAGGACCTTTCTATTCTTAAGACAGTAATTTTATAGATTTAGCATACATGTTGCAAAATAATCTCCAAGTAATTAACTTAAATAGCAGTAGTGATGAAGCTAAGACTTGTCTATTCAAAGTTAGTTCTTGATCAGTGATCAATCAATTTCTAACATCACTGACACACATTGGTTAATTACAACTTTGTAAGGCATATTTGACAATGCTCAACTTAAAGTCAGTTTTTATACTATAATGGAATCATCCTGTGGCTGTAGGGTGATCACTTGTTTTAATAAGTTATTAATCAAATGATTCATGAAGTTGAATTCATGTAGCATGCGATGTTTCTTCTACATTGCTAGGTTGCTACAGTTGTACACATGCATTAAAGACATATTTCCATCTTTGTAGTACAGCACTCTTAAATTGAATGGGTAAGCAGCAGATGGCAATAAGAATGTTTTAGCACTAATACAAAAATAAAAAATTACTTGCTGTAGACAGTGTCAAAAGCACAAACATATATAAATGCTACAATATACAGTATTACCCAACACAAAATCCCTCTAATAAAGCAATATTATTTTTTATTGTTGAAAATGTAAATGCATACGATATACTTTTAATATTGAAATTCTTCTAAAAATTAATGTATTCCAAGCACAAGAAGTTTACAAAAAGTATCAAAAGCAATTTGTAATCAAGATGCCATAAACATACTCACATTGCCAGCTGTTATGATCTAAACTGACAGAAAAGGCTGAGATATGACTAGTGATGGAATGCATGGCACACACAAGTTTGTTATGCAGTTGCACGTGTGCAAAGTTTGGAGATAATTTTGTAACATTTTTTATGTTCATTACTTCTCCATAAAATAATTAAATTTTTTCCATGCATTTGATTGATTTGCTCAAGTAAAGATGGTTCCAAACAAATTATCAAAATAGGAATAAAGTTAAAAAAAAAAGTGGCTTTATGATACAATGTAATCAGTAGTTTCTTTCCAGTTACAAGTCATAGAATCATGAAAGCATAATTCAACTTCCTGAAATAATACAGAAACTTGCATTCAGAATTTGTAAAAAATCATTAAAAATTATCACCAAAATATCTAATAAAACATAAAAGTTTAATTTCTACGAGTCAATCTTTTTACCCAGTTTTTTTTTTCATATTTATATTAACTGTCTTTAAAAAGTGTTACTCCTAATATATGTTACAATTTCAGCTCTGTTGATATCATTTACTTGGAAAATAACTGAACTAAAAAACATAGTCCTTGTAATTCTTTTTCTTAGGCTGATACAAGTACTATTAAAACTTATCCTGTGCCACTACAACTACAAAAATCTCCAATAGTTAGTAGGTATGAAAAAAATTAATATTTTAGAATTTACTTCAGAACATTACTCATTACGTAATCTCAAAATGTGTTAAAAATACCACTGTTTAAGTTAAGAATATACAAAATAGTATAAATATTCTTGGCAGATTATTTCTTAATTGAATACATAAAAATCTATAATTTTCATTCACAGTTGTTTTCTAACATATTTAAAAAACTTTTATATCACTTGTAACATTTCTAAAATTTATCTTTTCTCCAGTAAAAACTTAATGTATAATGTAAAGCTTGCAAAGCTATCTGTACACAAATGAACAGAGCAACACACCAACATATCGATGACTTTTTCAACAACATGCAAGTTTATCAAGTTTAAAATATTTAATTCAAAATTTTATAGTCAAACTTATCACTGGAAATGTATAAAATATTAGTTTTTAATATTTTTAAGTGTAACTGTTAATACTGTGTTCTATGTTTGCCCTTTTAATTTCTTGGAATAGTGTTTATGGAAAAATATTTTTATGATGCAATATTAATTAATTAGTTTTTAATGAGATCTAACAA